TACTCAAGAGCAGCATGGTCTATTCTTTGGTTTCATACTTAAAAGATGTTGGGCTGTGCACGGAGATGTTGGGTCGTGCACGGGGAGCTCATGGCCGGGAGAGACCGCCAACCATGGGCCAAGTGAACAGCAACATTAAGTGTGCTCGGAACACCACAATCAAACCCAAAACCTTAAGGCATTAGGTGCATGGATCCTTCCACTTATATGGTGCTCACTTAGTCCATTCTTAACCAATGTGAGACTTTTTTTTCACTCAATCATTCACACTTGGATTCCTCAACATCTCCCCCTCAAGTGTGAATCCAAGGCCCACATTCCCACATCAAGACATACTCAGATCACCACAGGCCAATCCACCATTAGCTCTGATACCAATGTTGGGTTGTGCACGAGGAGCTCATGGCGGGGAGAGACCGCCAACTATGGGCCAAGTGAGCAGCAACATTAAGTGGGCTCGAAACACCACAATCAAACCCAAAACCTTAAGGTATTAGGTGCATGGGTCCTTCCACTTATATGGTGCTCACTTAGTCCATTTTTAACCAATGTGAGACTTTGTTTTCTCTCAATCATTCACACTTGGATTCCTCAACAAAAGATGCACATCAGTTTACCAAAAAAAAAAAAAAAAATGCACATCCTAACACAAAGAAATACAGCTACAGCTACCAATAAAGCTTTGCAATTAAGAAAAGCCCAAAAGGAATAAAGGATAGCATCAATTCAAAAATTAGTACCTTTACTTGTTTGCTGAGGACTTCTTAAAATCTGTAAATCCTTTATAGTTCCATACTTGGAGAAAAGAGCACAGACTTCAACTTCGGAGATATTCTTTGGAAGCATGCCAATAAAGAGTTTGTGTTCTGGATACAAAGACAACAAAAATTACTTATGAAGGCACAATGCACATGTCCTAAAGTGTAAAGAGAAATTTCCATTCAGTAAAAGAAAAAATAACAAAGGAGTTTTAGCAGTTGAATGAATCTCAGAATTTATCTGCTGAACAAAATATTTAACTACAACAATGAGAATATATCACACCTATTCTTTCCAACTCCCCATCTGCATACTTCACTTGCAACGGACTAGATGCCTGAATTGGACACAAAAAACAGGATGCTTCCCAATCAGAATGAGAATAGTAGTATCATATCATAGTTATTAAAGCAATGATGTCAATAATGTTATCAATTGCAGTTCTCCAGGGAAAACTGTGGATAGTCAAGAATCAAAATATTTTACATTTGATTTAGTTTGTTATGCATATTTAGATCACAAAAATCAGGTTCAATCATCAAACATAATATATTAGGAAGGCAGATATCCACCTTAGATGATTGCCTAAGCAACCACCTGAATGTGGAGCATGGTCTAGAAGGACCTCTGCCAGTTAATAATTCCTAAGTCAGAGAATATCAAAGATGCATTGAAACATATCTACTGAAAGATGAGTCTTTTGTCAATTCACTTAAGATTATTTTTAGTGTACAGACAACAGCGAACATTGATTCCCTAAATCATAAACATAGATTGCCCACCAGACCACAATTCTGAAAACAAACATTGAATGTTCACAAATAATATCATAACAATTTATAATAATTTCATGATTGACTTCAAGATGCAAACTCTCAAGCGACCGATTTTCCAGAGTGATGTTCTATTTTATTAATTTAAAGGGCCTTCCTCATTCACTATCATAAGAGGACTCATAGTTTATCTTAATGCATAAAATATGTTTAGTCGTATATACACTTAAATCAGCACATCAAGTATACATATCATCATAATTATGAAAATACATTAGAAAATAACATTTTTATTTTGGCCCATTAACTCGCTTTTCCATTTTATTGCCCAATGTTAATATAAGTTGAGGCCCACCTCAATAAAAATAGGTGTTTATTTAAGCTGTAGTAGTGACTAGTGTTGAGATATATAGTCTCACATTGGTTGTATGTGCAACTAATGTGGAGTTTATAAGGCTTTGGGCACTCCCACCCCTTGAGCTAGCTTTTGGGGTGATGTATCCCAAGGTTCTTTACATGGTATCAGAGCCTCGCCGCCCCCCACTTTCTCTTGTGGTGTTTGTGATACCATGTTAAGAACCTTGGGATACACCACCCCAAAAGCTAGCTCAAAGGGTGGGAGTGCCCAAGACTTTATAAAGGCCGTATTAGTTGCCCATCCAATCAATGTGAGACTATATATCTCAAGAACTAGGGTACTCCAAATCACAGATATAGCAAGTGGTAGATACAAAATACAAAAAATAGAGAAATATTTTTGCCAAATCAAGACATATTTTATAGCACCAGCCACTTATTTCCAATTTCATGCCATCAAAACATTTCACTTTCAAAGTTGCCAAAACATTACAAACACGAGAGGAGGAAAAAACAAGATAAAAAAAAAAAGAAAAAAGATAATAAGGTGTACGAAGAATAAGCAGCAACCCCAGGAAGCGTTTTCTTATTATGACAGGCATTGACCGCCATGTCGTCCTCTTCCGTGGAGGGACAAATTACAAAGCAACAACCTGCGACGATGCACAAAGCCGCGAAATTAGGGTCGGGAAGAGAGGAAGTAACCAAATCTGAAGAATGTTAAGGAAAGACAAGACATGATAAGACAAGACAAAACGCACTTTGGAGCAAGAATTTGAATTTGAACTTTAATTTGAATTTGGGAATGTTACCTCGGGAGGCACGAGTAGCTTTGTCCTTGATGATGTTGACCTGGTCAACCAAAGCGAACTCCTTGAACATTGCAAGCAGTTCAGCTTCAGTTGACCTACGAACAGTTTCACACTCGGAGGGTATGTTTGTTTAAGATTCTGAAATATTTCCAATGAACAACATTAAAAAGAGAAACAAAATGTCTTCTTTTAATAAAAGTGCATAAAAAATGTGTAAATCAATCTTAATCACTGCAAAAAGGACGTTTGAAGCGACCAGAATCTTAAACAGAGCATAGTATTATCCATCCCACTAAAATGAATAGAAGTGCCACTACAAGAGTTGAGGGGTGTAATCCATATCATAGTACATTAATTTGGTGGCTTCCATTGACAAGCTCATCTGAAGATTTTGCAGAACAATTAACATGACGGAGTAAGATAATCAACAGTGAAGATTTTCACGGATCTTCTACAGTTTTGTTAAAATCAAGATGTTAATTTTTATTTTATTTTTTGTAATAAAAAACTTAAAAGAACATAGTTTAAAACTATAAATCATAAGGCATGGCATATTCTTTATGACTGCACATGATCACAATTCTTGAGATAGGGACACTTCTAAACATGAACAAAAATATTAACCTTTAATCAATGAGATGGTATTTATATATATGGATTCGCTTTTTCTGCGATTACTATATATAAATTATTGTTATTTTGAGACAGAATTATTATAGTTTTTATAGTTATAATTTTTTAATATTTTAATTCAAAACAACGTCATTTTGGGAATAAATGCAAATAACTTATCTGTAATAACTCCAGAAATATTTATATATATATATATATATATATATATATATTTGACTGTTATATTAAAATTTTGATTATTTATATATGATCATTTTAGTTTTAAAATTTATAGGTCAGCTGTATAAATATTTTTTAAGTGTCATACTATCTCGTGCGTTGTTTTTTAGAAAAAGAAGAATTCTAAAGTATGTTGTGCATAATGCTTTTAATGGTTGATATTTGGTTGGCTGTTTATAAATAATTGGATTGAATTTAAGTTCATATAAAAAAATATCAAACAAAGAGTTATCTGGCAAGACATATTATTTTTGTCCTGGTAATTGAGAGGAAGTTGGACACAACACTATATATATATATATATATATATATATATATATATATATATATATATATATTTTTGTCCTGGTAATTGAGAGGAAGTTGGACACAACACTATATATATATATATATATAGGGATAGGATCAACTTACACCAGTGTAAAAATAATAAATCTTACACTAAAGCTTAACTGTTGATTTCCGTGCATCTAACGGTTGAGATTTATTGGGAATTAAAAATTAATTAATGAGTGAGACCTAATAAATATTAACCGTTAGATGAAGAAAATCAATGGTTAAGATTTGGTGTAAGACTTCTTATTCTTAAACCGGTGTAAGATGATCCTGCCCCATATATATATATATATATATATATATATATATGGGGCAGGATATTCTTACACTGGTGTAAGAGTTAGAAGTCTTACACTCAATATTGACCATTGATCCACTTGTATTCAATGGCTCACATTACTTAAAAATTTGAGCCCTTAGATATAAATAGAATCAGTGGACAAGATTAAGAGTGTAACTTACACTGGTGTAAGATGATCCTAACCCTATATATATATATATATATATATATATATATATATATATATATATATATATATATATATATATATATATATATATATATATCTGTATCTGTGTGTGTGTTGTGTTGTGTGTGTGGAAGAAACCAAACAGTAATACGAGCATAATTTATTAGCCAGAGAAATTATTTGCCTTGGCCTGGTAGTTGAGAGGAAATTATAAGCGATACCATCATTATTCATCTCTACGGCCGAAACCAGACAACAGAAACTTCATCAAAATCAAATGAGTTCGTTGCACCCAAAATTCCAATCAACAACGCCTGTCAAATTATACCTACGAGTTTGTGTCTTGGCACAAATTTTCCGATAATATATTTGTGATAAGGAATTTGTTTCAAGTGATAAGGAATTAGAGAAAATAATATTGTTTCACTTAACGAGATATCTAAATTTCAAGTTCTGGAAATAGAGAAAATAATATTGAAAAAAGTTGCCTCCATACAATGAGTCCGAAAATGCTCAAACTGAATTAATTGGATAATCGATATACTGGGCAATTTAAATAGCTTGAATATAAAACAAGAACCGAAATGATAAGAAAGCACAACTTGAGATAAGGAAAATCATCTTCACATCAAAATCACTCAGTCCCTTCCATTTTGGGGGGTCACTATTATTTTTCTATTTATTCAATGATGATGATAATAATAATACAAAAACAATCAATGTCCTTTTGTTAATACAATGAGGGTAGTAAGACAGGGGTTGGAAGGACAACAATCATGTACCTCTAATTGGTCAGGACCACACTCCAGGAAAAGGGAAACACGGAGATAAAAACACATGACAACCACCTACTAGAGAGTCAAAAAATGTGATCTGGTTCAATGGGAATGCGCCTCAAATCACCAATGAAAATTACGAAAAATAACTATCTAAAAGAATTCCCCCAAATGGGACTTGTTTGCAAAAGTAGTAGTTCTTCAGCACCTCAAATATCATTATAGTATTAGTCTGTAGGGTGTAGGCTAATGGAGACTCCTGTTACTAGATTGCCTTCAATCCAGCAAGTTTCCTTAGCTCCTCACATAATATAAATGTAATTGTGGTTTGTGGTCCTAATCTTGCAAACATTGCAAAGCCCCTGAAAAAAGTCACCAATGAACAAACTAATATACAAATAAAATTGTGCCCGCTCCCACCCCAAAAGAAAACTAAGAGCAGGTTGAGTTTGTATGTGCTTCTGATTGTATCTCTTCTCCAAGCAGTGATAATAAAAGTAACTTTAGTGTATCATAAGGGCAGTAGTAGTGTTTGTGATAATTTTTAAGAAGTCTTACCAAAATCTCAGTGAATAATTATAGAAGTTTCGAGATGATGTAAAACAAACAATTTCCAAACAAGATTACTGACCAACATATACTCACCCTTTGTAAAGTGCCCTTGGACCCTCTGTAAGCAGGACCTGAAACCACACAGGATAAATGCATTAAATAACAAAGGGAATTCACAGTGAGTGCATGAATGAAAATATAGCATTTTATTTATAGTTGGACATATGAAAGTCATTTCAAAATTGTTATAAGCTAATAAACTGAATAATTTCATACTACTTTAATTCTTTAAACCCATTCAGCAAAAAGGGAGAGAGGGACTACTTAGGGCTTCTTTTTCTTTGATTTGTTGGTAAATAACTCTGACACTAAAAACGGGACGAGGTTGGAGTAATGGTAAAGTTGTTTCTTGGTGTTGAAAGGCCGGGTTCAAATCAAGGAAACAACCTCTTTGCAAAAACACAAGGGTGAGGCTGGGTACAATAATTTCCCTTATCCCTACCATCGCAAATATGGATTTCATGGGGAGTGGTTTTGGTTTTTTTAAATAACTCTTATGACAGTATCTTTCTTGAATAATGTTCTTTATTATAGACATAGAAAGGAGGCTAAGAAATTTCTTAACCAAAATACAATGCAATTGTTCATCTTGGACCTCTCAGTTGTTATTATATAAGCTGCCAGCACACACTGATTTTCACACAAACAAGAATCAGGGAAGCCAAGCCAGACCCAAAATGCATGAAAGTAGCATAGAACTTATACACAATACCAAGTAATCAATTAAAGTCAACCTTTCAAAGTAAGATAATTTCAATCAAACTAAGATTTTACAGGATTAAAATATGCCATCTTAAAAAATTCTTGTTCACAAGAGTTTATGATGGTAGCAAAATCATATTACAACTACAGTATAAATCTCAGAGGAACAAAATCAATAGAAGACTAACTACCCAAAAAAAATCAATAGAAGACTAAATATACCACGCCATATGAACGAATTAATTTAATGGTCAATTTAATATTTCCATACCCCAACTATTTTAGATGTATAAGTATGGCCTCCAATTACAGGAAAAGTCAGAAAACCTTGTTCCCCAAATCCCTTTAGTCCATTACACCTGGCACTTCCAAGTCAGGAAATGTTGTTTCACAGAATACTGAGGTATTAAGGTACCTCTTCAGGCCAAAATTGAGCTATGTCCTTTAAACCCTCCTACAGGTTTGAGAGATGAGAACACAACATTAATACCTGGTGTGCACAATGAAATCCGCTTTTATAGATTTTAGCACCCTTGGATTCTCGTTGCAACATGAGACGGGTTTTGACCATATCCACAGGTGCAGTTATGAGGGTGCTCACTATGCCTGCAACTGTGCTTGAGCTATATAAGGCACAAACTACAATTAGTTTTCAGTTAGGCCAGACAATGGAAAGTGATTTTGATTTCAAAACAATGACAAATTGTGAGGGAATAAGTTCAAATTAATCCAGAGTTGTATGGCGTTGTGTCAATCAAGAAAAAACATTATTTCAGTTCATCAGATGAACAAAACTGGTTAGACAACTTTTATAAGAAGATATGTACTGCACTTTCAATATATTTTACACGATAAAATCAATTCTAAACAAATAATTATTTAAATTTTAATTTATTTCTCAAGCTTCTTCGGTCTTCACCATTCTAAAGCTGCCCCATGTTTTTGGTCAATCTTGAGGCTTTAACCATATTCCATTTACTTAAATTCAGTTTGCATCGGGAAAAATGAAAATAAATAAAATTGGCTGGAGAGCCATACATCAGATGTAGATGAAACCCTTCTTTGAGAGATGTCCACTGGATTAAAATCTGCATAAGGAGAAAGCAAAACAAATGATTAAAATAAGCAATGATAGAGTTGACAGGAAAGACAAATAAACAGGGAGAAGAGGAACAGAAATACACTTTGTTGACCTGCTTGGTTTCATCATATGTAGCTAACTGGGATGCAGTTAAGGCAGCCGCTCTAGCCATAGCAGGGCCCACCCCCTTCCACAGAGCTTTGATTCCCTCTTCAGATACAGTCCTCTGAAGCTCAGAGATTGGTCCACTCTTTCTCATGTCTGGATTCATTTGCAAACGCACCTGATTGTGGGAATATGATATTGAAGGAAAAAAGAAAAAATATTCAAATTAGGAGAAAAACATATGATATCTCACCTTGAGAACTTCAATTGGATTGGTCAGTGCAGTCGAAATAGCACCAGCAAACATTCCAGAAGCAATTTTAACTAAAACATTGGAGGAGCCAAAAGCAATATCACAGGCATGCTTAGAGGGTTCATACAAGCCCAACCGTAGTCCTCCATAAACAACTGACCTTGTTAATGCAGGGGTTAAGCCCAGATATAAAGACTTTGGTCCTTCATTTTTCACCACACTTAAAAATAATTGTCCCTGAACAAATGCTTAATTGATAAAAGTTTTGTACTATAATGTGATAACTAAGGTCTAAAGAGGAAAGGTTGAACGCAGCAAACTACCATTCCACTCAAACGACCTTTCTGGCCAACAAGTTGCATTTGTAGCCTTACTTTCAATACATCTGCACAGCATGTAGAGACAAGTTATACAGATAATTTTTAAGTATTTGTTTTTTTGGTTTTTCCAAAACCTAAACATAACAGTTTCAAGTGCTCAATCTCAGGTAATCTTCACTAACATCTTTATTGTAGCTGTTTACTTCATTTGTAACTTCAAAATATTTCCAATATTGATGGCCAATCATGAAGTATGACTACCCAAAAGAATAGAATAAACACCTAATTTTGTCCTCAACATATATACTTGACATCACATTGTTCTTTCATGTATAAATATAACACTTATCCATTTTAGTTTTAGTTTATCAACATTACCTGTAAACATTGTCGTAACATAAGTTATTCTCTCCTTTAGTTCCTCTACAGTGACCTCACTTAAGAGGAAAAACTAAGGGGTTTCAAAGGTTAATGAGAAAATAAAGAGAGTGGATTCTAACAAAATGACAATTGGTTATGCATATGCATGTATTTTATCATAATATCAACCATTGATTCTCTGTCAATGGTTAAGATCCCTCCCTTTTTCACTAAAATGAACTCCTATCCAAATCTAACTTCTATATATAGTGCAACACTTTTTGTCAATGAATAGCATTGAATAAAATTCAATTCACTCTCAACCTATATCTGTATAGGATATTAATAGACGACATCAAATTGGTCATTGAAGGACAAAACTAATAGCATTAATTATCATTGAAGGACCATTTTGATGTCTAATGGCATGAACCTCTACATATCTTACGTATTATGGCTACCTAAACAAAATACAAAAAATAAAATAAAAAATGTTCTAAACTGATACACACCATTCTTTTTTTTTCTTTTTGTGCTCAAATAAATCAACGAATTCAATTAGCAACTATGCAAAGAAACAGGGTGAGTAATAAATAGGCATATAATATTCAATTAGCAACTATCCAAAATTTTGTGGCCCTTAAATAGAAAAACATGCAGTAGTAGAAACCAAAATCCAAGAAGATGGGAGGGGCAGAGAGAGAAGCACCTAGAGGGTGAGTAATTGCAGTTGCAACTGCCACAGAAAGTCCACTTGTAGCAAAGTGATTGAAAATAGTGGAATGGGACGCATCCCAATTCTGCTTCTCATTATTCCCGGGTCCTGAAGACATTTTCTTCTCAAATTTCACACTAAAAATTACAACTTGATGATTCAAAAGAAATCGCAGGACCACATTATTTTTTATTTTTATTTTCAAAGGAACGTTTTTGATTCAACTACGTTAAATTCCATGGAAATGGGTCAAAGAAAAAGAAGCAAACGTAACCTGAAAGTGCCGAATCATTGGAAGTAGAATTCCCAGCCATTCAAGCTCTGTCCTGGTTTTTGCTCCTTGGAGGGAAAAAAAAAACGTCAGCAGATCTCTGTTCTCTGATTTCCGAGTCAAAACTGAGGAAATAAAAAATGAGGTGGAGAAAAAACAGCTGCACCTTCGGATTCGGGGTAGAGAACTATAATAACTAAATAAATGAATGAATGGGAGAGAGAAAAATATTCAGATACTTTGAGTTTAAAAGTAATATTATCAATTATTTCTATGTTATTCGATTTTATTATATAAATTTACGAGTTTAATCTGACAATAAGTATTTGGTTATGATGCCATGTATAAATCTTCTTTAGATAAGTGTACTATACTACTGCAGTAAAAATAATCCTTAATTAATAAAAATGAAAGCTTGATTCTTTACTTGTATCAAATTATTATAAATTAGTTCACCAATTTTTTTTACTAGATTTTAGTCGCTAATTTTTTATTTATAAAATTAATCATATTCCAGAGTTTGACATGATTTTTTTTACAATAACAACTCACTTTAGTTAAATTTTATGTTTTTAAAAACTAATATACTGCAAGTATCTTCTTTAAACTGAAATAGACTTGGGAAAAATAATTTATCTTGAAAATTATCATAAGAAATGCAAGTTATTCACCTTTAAGAATAATTACGTGGTTAGGGTTTATTATATCTAATATTATTTTATGAGAAAAGTTATATTTACATTATATTTTTATTTATAATTTTTTATAATCATATCTTAATGGTTGATTTTTGTTAATAAATAGTTATTATTTATTATTAATTAATAATTAATTAATGAATTTAATTTATAAAAATAATAACCATTGATCAACAAAAATCAATAATTAAAATATAATTATAAAAAATTATAAATAAAAATGAGTTGTAACTATAATTTTTATACATTCACGTATCTTATTTTATGAACTGTTTTTTACCTTTGACTTTCCTTTTTCCTCTTTTTAATTTACATTAACTTCTCTTATTTTATCCAAATTTGTTTCACTATTTTCTTTGTAAGCTACACGGTAAAGTGATATTAATGTATCTTTTTGATAATGATAACTTAGTTGTATAAGTATTGGTAGAGTCATATTAGGCTAAGGTGGTCAGGCTAATTTTAAAAAAGTAGTCACATTTTAAATGTGACTATAGCCAATTTACAAGCTAATTTTTAAAAATTAATCATATTTTAGATGTGGTTAAATAACCATAATTAGCTTCGACATAGGCTAAATTTTCTTTGTCCTGATTGAGTTGCTACGTTGGTTCCGCCGTAGTGCAGAGTTGAACAAACGAGAACGAGGATATGTGTTTGATATTAAACCTTAATTTTGGACCCCATCCAAACAAAATTAAGAGTGTACTGTAGATACATACACGTGGTTTTTTTTTTTGTTTTTTTAAAAGCGATATTAATGTAACTTTTTAAATAAGATAAAAAAAAAAAAACTGATTTCACAAAAAGAGAAAAAATTACCACCAGGAAGAGCAATTAACCCAAGTAAATTAAATGGTTAGCTCTGATGCTGAGTCCAGAAAGTTCTGCACTTTGGGTGTAGCGTTCGTGTCATAATCAACTGTTTCTAGCTTTCACCCCTCATTTTATTTCTGATTCTGGACAACGAGCTCAAGGTATTATCATAATTCATTCTGTTTTCTAGGCTTTTACGGTTTTAACTTTCTACTTCGAAAGCTTTGATAATTCGCTCTGTTGCTAGGGTATTTTTTGGAGGAGCCATCAACACGATGCCTCGGTACAGTAACTTAGCTGTTAAAGGACTAACAATACCTTTATATTTCACATTTCAACGAAAATCGACGGCATTTAATTACATTTTTTTTATCGAATTTGCATTGCAGGTACTACTGTGACTACTGCGATACCTATTTGACCCACGATTCTGTAAGTTGTTTCTCTCGCCAATTGTTTCGTTTATAGTCATAGCCAGCAAGAAAGATTAAATTTTTCCAATGTTCTCCTTTTCTTGTAATAATATGCAAGTTCGAACTATATCTTAAATGTATCACTTATTATGGTGGATTCTCACGTTTAGTGTAATTTCATAACATATATATATATGTTGTTAACTTTGTTTGTGTCATATTGCAGCCATCTGTTAGAAAACAGCATAACGCGGGTTACAAACACAAGGTACTGTGAAATTTTCTCTCTAGTTAAATTAAGTGCTCTACAATCTGCATCATCTTCATGACGTGTGATACTTTTTCATGACTTCAGGCGAATGTGAGGTTGTATTATCAACAATTTGAAGAGCAACAAACCCAAAGTTTGATTGATCAAAGAATCAAAGAACATCTTGGTCAAGCTGCGGCATTTCAGCAGGTTGGTGTGGGTTATAATCATTTAGTGGTTCAGAGGCCAAACCTTCCTCCTGTATTGCCACCACCAAGATTGCCTATTCCTGGTACTCAAGTACCTGGAAGTCAACCACCAATGCCGGGTGTCAGACCTCTCTTGCCTAGACCGGTTCCTGGTGCACCAGGTGAATCTGTTCTCGCCGCACTCGTTTCGCGACTCATAAAACTTCCATTGAATTTTCTTTTTAATATATGATTTTAAAACATTAACCTTCTATATCGTGCCAAAAGTTGTAGAAAATTGGGTAGCCCAGTTCAAGCATTATGAATCGGTCCTTTTATTCCTGCTGCATATCTGATGTAAGTGGTTTTCAATTGGAGTTCACAGGATATGTTTCTGCACCAACCATGCCACCAATGGTTCCTCCACCTGGTGCTCCCCAGATACCAGGTCAACTAAATGCTATACCAAGGCCCCCTTCATTAGCTCCCCCACCAACAGTTCCTGGAAGCACTGCAGCACCAGCTTCCAATGGTGCTCCCTCTATGGTATCATTGGCAATGTATCAAGCTAATCCGTCCGCACCAGCATCTGGAGGTTATGATAATTACAATGCTAATGCTCAAGCACCTGATGGCAATCACTGACCTGGTCAAACTGGTATGTTATGTTATTTTGAATTTTACTCTAATCCAATACTTGTTTAATTAAATTCCGTTGCCTTATTCTTTGCTATTTTCAATCGGTAACTTAGGTGAAAGCATAGTATTTGCAGGGATTCAAGCATTCATTGGATTTAACTGATCAACATTCTTTTATATTTTATTTATTTCTGTTATGCAGTTCTCTGGGGCATCATTCTATCTCTGTCGGAGTCTTATGACTAGAACTATTTCTACTCTCCCTGCCAGCTGTAGTCAAATGAGGACTCTCACTTGCCATGTTTGGTCATATTATATATATAGCAATCATATACTTAGATTATTGGTACGTATCATGTCAAGCAGCTTCAATGCGGGAAAATAGTTCAATGAGTTACTTTTTTGGTCCTGGATGAAAGAGTCATATTGAAGTGCTTATTGCTTAGAAATTTCTGACATGGCTTGTTGATAGTTTTTATTCTGCAATAATATTTTTTAATCCAAGCTTTATCAGTGATACACTTAGTTGGCACTTCGAGTTTGGGACAGAATTCATATCCAGTGCAATTGTTTCAGAATCTGCTAAAAGAATTGCATGCAGAATCACTCAATTTTGTTTTCCTGAAGTGTATCAGATGTCATGCTGCAAAATAAAAATAAAAATCTTGGAGCATCAATTGTAGTTCCTTTGTCCACTTGAAGAAGCATAGGATGATATCCTTCAAAAGTTAGTTAATTCATGAAATACGCTAGAAACAATTACTTCATGGTAAGTCAAATAATAACGATTCATGGAGATACATGATTTGAATTACAATAATTATATATAAACAAAAATTACTTATATTCCGTTGAGATTTTCTACCCGGGTTTGAAGGGAACTTGGGGCGCCATGGTGTTCTGGGAGAGCTCGGTTTCCTGAAATTGCCTGTATCCATCTAACATCTTCATTTGCATGACACTAGCTCCTAATTAGCCAAGCCAACATTCTCATCAGGATAAGGTTTAATTAATCAATGATTTCATATTCAATCCCCAGAAACAGAACTTGCCCGTTATATTTGCTTCTTACGTGCGTATTTCTGTAAGACGAGTATGTTGCATGTGGTCTTCCACATTAAACTAAAGAATGGTTATTTTAATTAAAATTATTATTTTTTGTTTAAAATTTAATTTAAAAAAAATCTCTCATTTTCTTATTCATGATTTTTATTGTGTATCTCTTTTTCTTACTTGAAAGGACAGAATTTCATATTATTTAAAAAAAAAAACACTGATTTTTATGTTTAATTAATGTATTTGTTTTGCTCTTCGCAATTCAAAACTAAGAGTTTTATTAAAATGAGACAACAAAAACTTCAAACGGGCATTTGGTCTAGTGGTATGATTCTCGCTTAGGGTGCGAGAGGTCCCGAGTTCAATTCTCGGAATGCCCCGTTTTTGTTCTTTTAGAGTGAGCCAATACATGACAAATAAGATGTTGTCACGTGCATTTTTATACTCCTGTTATGCTCTAACGATCTCAACTGCAACTTACAGTCTTACTCCAACGGGGGAATATTGGCTAACAAAATTTAATCATATTATAACTTCATACCCGTTAACGAAATTTCTCCGTATGATGATTAAAAAAATAAGTATTGCAAGTTGTACTTTACTTTCCACTTCAATTGCAAGTAAAGCTCTCTAATCAATTTTCTCTTACTGAAATACTTTGATAAAGAAAATGGCTTTAGAATTTTATATTGTTTTTTTATCTGAACCGAGAGGTATAAGCTCGAAGTCACTAAAGTCATGTATTATAATGAAAGTGATTTTCGCGAGAACAAAGTTGATTTTGCACTTATACTTGATTTGCTGTCTAGACCATCTTTGTTATTTAGGTCATTAATACACATTTCATATGGTGGATGATAAATCCATGATTTGTGACTTTGAACATGTGATTTGATGTGAAAATAGGAATAAAAAGAATATCTTTGTTAATAAAAACCCCAAATATTGCATAAAAATAAAATATTCTGATTTTAAGTGATAATGAGTTGTTTTTGTATCTTACAGGCCCAATTACTCATTTTATCCAAGTAAAGCAAAAAGAATGAAAAAGACAAGAAACAAAGAAGCTGTGGGCTGAAGTTTTACCAGTCCAAGTCAGTGAAGTGACAAAAGAAGAGAAACTAATGAAGGAAGAATGGGCCGGATGAAACAAAGCTGATGCAAAAGCCCAACTTGAAGAAAGAAGAAAGCAAAGTGAGAGAAGCCCAAGTCAGAAAAAGGGAGAAGGAAAGAAGAGAGTTGGGCCAGAGGCAACTAAATCAGCGGCCCAAAAGAAGAAAAGAAGAAAAGAAGGGAAGAAAAGAAACTAAAGAGATAAATCAGAATCGTGAGAAAGAGAAAAAATAAACCCTAGCACAGACCCACCATCAACTAAATCCATCTCAAGCCCTCACCATCCATCACGGTTTCTTCTTGGAATCGAGCAAATAAACCGAAACACCATCTGCTTTTTAAACCCTAGACAAGAACCCTAGCCTTCCATCACGGTTCAGTTTTTGAATCGGATCAACCCACACAAACCCTACCCGATTCGGTTGATGACACAGAAAAATCCAAACAAGTGATGAGCTGGAAGTCGTTAGTGGCTGGAGCTGCCTTTGTGGTGCGTTGCTGAATCGTGCAAGGGACACCCACAATCGATTAGAGCAAGGAGCGTACGTTTGGAGGAGGTGATTTGGGAGTCAGCTATAAAGAAAGGAAAAAAGGCATTTGTAGGACATTCCATTCTCTCCCTACCTCTTTTCTCTTCGCTGATTTTTATTCTGCTCTTTGGAGAATATTTTTAGGTTTTCTGTTTTTCATTCCTTAGCACTTTCTGTTTGTAATCTTTGATGAGCACTGTTCCAGGGCTATCGGCTGTTGATAGCTCCTGAGTTTTAGTTTTCGTACATTTTAAAGTTCCTGTTTTTATCATGTTCTCTTGTTGTATGTTAGCTCATCAACCTGTGGTGATGAGCTAATTTTTCTGAGAGTTGGGTTGAAAAAAGTACCCGGAACTCACTGTTATTAGATGATGTTTTAATGTTTACATGGTTGTTTTTCAGCTTGTTTACTGTGCATGTTTATTGCAGAGTTTGTTATGTGATGATCACACATAGTCAGCTCTTAGTGGTGTGAGATTATTGGGAAATAACTCACACTAGACCCCACTGTGAGCACATGGAAAGTTGAGAGAAAAATCTCTCTCAATGGGTATGGCTTCAGGGATGAAGTTACCCCATGTAACTTGTGAAAATGGTTCTTCAAGATCCTATGACAACAATGACATAGGGATATGCCACTGTTGTCAGTGGAAGAAAATTGTTGTTGGGAAACAACAATTACTTTAATATTTTCGTTAAGCTGGAAGCAATTTTTGTTTTCTATTAAAATATCCTAATGAGATTTGAGTGAAGGGGAAACTGACACCCAACTCACTTCCAAACTCTGTTTTAAAACCAATTTTTGTCACTTGTTATTTTTATCCAAATTTGAAATTATTTTTCTGTTTTAAAATTTAAAAGAAAATCATTAAAAAAAATTAGTTTGCAAGTCTTTCAAGTAAGTAATTTTTTTTAGGCAGTAGTTAAAGACCTGTCACCAACTAAATCATTGTTTTAAAAAGAGAAAATCTCCACAAAAATATTTTCAGTTCATTAGTTGAGAATAGTAGTAGCATTTAATTTTATTTGTTTTTATTTTTAGTTCTTTTAGCAATTACCTTTTATTTCAAGTTAAAACGCAAAGATCCTTGTAGGAACGATAACTGGGACTCACAAAAGCCCTATATTACTTGTTGTCGCGTATACTTGCGCGCATTACTTGCATAGCTGTTAGCATGGTTTAAGAAGATACGTGAGAAAGTAACACATTTCATGTGTGACAGGAAGCGGCTTAGGAAAGGCTACAACAACAAAATTCATTATTGCTTATATCCAAAACTTGGGCAAGAGACTGCAAAAGAGCTAGGAACTAATGCTACTTTCATAACGTGCAATGTCACTAAAGAGTCAGACACATCAAGTAATGTCGATTTTGCCATTTCTGAATACAAACAGCTTGGTATCATGTACAATAATGCAAGAGTAGCCTGCAGCACTCCTCCCAGCATTATTTGACAAAGTCATGAGCATAAATGTACGAGGGGTTGTGGCAGGTACCAAACATGCCGCATGTTAGTGATTCCAAATGGATTTGGGTCCATTCTATGCACAGTCAGTGATTTTGAGTAATCCAAGTGTGAGTGGGTGAAGTCCCACGTTAGTTAAGAATGAATTAAGTGAGTATTATATAAGCGGAAAGAACTATACATCTAATGCTTTAAGGTTTTGGGTTTGATTGTAGTGTCTAAACTTATTTGATGTCGTTGCTCACTTAGCACATGGTTGGCTGTTTCTCCCCGCCACGAGCTCCCCGATGGAGTCCCACATTAGTTAAGAATGGACTAAGGGATTAGGAATCCTAAGCAACAGTAGTTATTTATGGGCCCAAGCCCACCAGGCTTACGCTGCCCCCAACCCCATCGGAGTGGGATCTGAATGCGAATTATGAGTAATACCCAACAATAAAGTCCTAGTCAGTTGAATATCATCTCTTTCCATTCCACATCTTGATGCTCAGCAAATTGCGAACCCAATGACATTGCTAATGCTGAACTATGTCTTACATCTGATGATCCAAAGTATGTTAGTGGGCACAATTTGGTTGTGGATGGAGGTTTTACTTGCATCTTCTAAGAATTTTGAGTTTCCTGCACCACATCAAGTGCAGCAGAAGTTTGTGCAATTTATGCTTAGAAAAATGTGAAGACAATGGCTAAAAAACACCACTTTCTGATTACTCTTTTAAACGTATTCAAGTATAGCATGTGAGATCACACTGGAGGCAAAATGAGACAATATAAGGCTCTCAGCTAGGATTCCTCAAGTCTGATTGTAGATTAAAAAAAAACGAAAATATAGATTAGAAAGAAAGAGTGATGAAGCTAAAACATTGTTTGATTACAGGACAAGAATGAAGAACAGTCTCTTCATGAAGTTGGATGATTGTAAAAATTACTGAATGATATACCCTATGCAGCAGAGCTACAAAAAAAAAAAAAAGAGAGTATAAAACATGCCATGATCCAGGTTAGAAAGCAGCTTATTTATACACTGATTTTTATTTATTCAACATTAAATGTTTTACATAAAAAAAACACAGCTCATTTTGTGCAATTGGATGGAAGTTTTGTAGCGGCTTAGCTTTCTTTAACAATATTATGAACCAGTAAAACCTGCATGCTTCAGTCTCCTCTTCCTCTTAGGATCTACGAGATCTATGGATTGCCATTCATAAAAGGTCATCTCTTTATGTTTATTGTTTCAGTAACAAGATATAATGTTACAAATAGATGTTGACAATATCTTGTTACTGATTCAATATGATGTGAAGAAATCAAAATTTTTCCAGAATAAGCTTGCGCATGAAATCTTCTGGAGCTGCATAGCATAAGAAAAAGGCCTGAATACATTGTTTATTAAATTTTAAGATGTTAAAAGCTTGGAAGCTAAAGATGATTAGTACCTAATCCTCCTGTAAAAAGCCGGAATTGGCCAAGAGCCTGTCTAATGAACATTTCAACTCCACTCACCACAATGGCTCCAGCCTCAGAAGCCTCCTGCAAGAGCCTTGTATTTCTAGGTGTGTAAACAGCATCAAACACTAGCTCATATGATCTCAAGGCTCCCTAAGTAAGCATTAATAAACCATGAAGCACATCAAATTAAGTATCTTCTTTTATTTTTACAATGAATGAGAGTGAGAGAAAGAACCTTTGTTATAGGACTTTCATTTGAATTTGGTTCCATTCCCACAGAAGACGCATTTGCTAGGATCATCCTGCTTTCTGGGGAAAATCTATCCAAGAATTCGTATGGTAGAGCTTCCCCTGAAACTGCATGTGCAAGAGCTTTTGCTCTCTCTATCAAACAAAGAAATGAGATTGTTTTAAATAAGATAATGGTCTCTTTAACTTCTTAAGATAAAGTAAAGCATATCACATTACCATAATTGCGGTTGAAAATGACAACACGAGCCCCCCTACTTTTTGCACCATAGGCAAGTGCCCTTCCAGCACCTCCTGCTCCAACCAAAACAAATACTTTCCCAGCAATTGGAGAAGTATGTGATGCTTCCCCATTTACATGTTTCCTCCCTGTTCAGCCCAAACAAATGCTAATTTGTCATTTTTAATAACACTGACTTCTAACTATTTTTCTTCTGTTTATGTTTTATGTGGTTCTGGCTTCTAACGATTTCATTGACCATGAAAATATTCTCCTCTTGTACCCAAAGAAAAAGAAAAGATTATAAAAATCTATTCTTGACCCCAGTCATTTCAGGAAGACCTTTTGGCCATTTCTGGTTGTTCAATACCTTCTCAAAGATGCAAGAATAACATCCTTCATGTTTACCTTTAATATATAGAAACATACTTATATTCAACTTTGAAAAGATGAGAAAAAACTTTGATTCTCAATTTACCTCTCAATGCGTCCTCTATTGCTGTGATTGAAGCCTCACAATCTGTATTGTAACCAATCAGCTTTCCATCATTAGGCCTCCTTATTATTGTATTTACAGCTCCAATAGACTACGTGAAAAAAGGAACCACATTTAAGAAGATGCTTCAATAAACATAACTTCAATCAGCAAGTAAATTTGTTTAATGATTTAATTAATTAAGAACAATTATTGCGCCAATGGGGTTTGTTTTGATTTCTTCCACATAAACTAAGTTCACTTAAGCTTGTATGAAAAACTCATACAAGAACTTTGGTTCTTGTAGCTTAAAAAACATAGGTTTAAATACATAAAAAACATATATGAAGCAAAAATAAGGAGCACCTAATTTCTGTTCCTAGAGGTCATTTAAGGAGATATACACATCTAATGATGACAGTTAACAAACCTTGGCAAGTGGATGGACTTCATCACAACAACTGATTGCTGCCTCTTTATGTGGGATTCCAACACTGCAGAAATTGAACAAAGAAAACAAGCATCACTGAAGCTTCTACTTTACTATGGAGTTTCTGTTTTACAACTAACAACTAATTAACTTTCTTTTAAAGCATTTTCAACTGTATGTTCAGTAACATGATTATTTCATTACCACAGAGAAGAAAGATTTTCTAATGTAATTGCAAAACTCGGTTCCGTAACTGGAATATTTGACTCCACAATATTCATAAGGGTAACCAAGGATAAAAGAATTTCACAAGGCAAGAAATTTTCTTCTTCTCTTGATTTTGCATGCAAGAAGAGAAAATTGAATACTTAGTGGGGGATGGTTGAAAATTTACAATGTATCATGTCTTGAAAAATCAATTTTCATCTTTTTTATTTTTATTTTTTTGTCCTCCACACTCTTTCCATTTTCACTTATATCAATATGTGAAGAACACCTGAAGTACCTACATACCTGAAACCAGCGAAGTCCATGCCTGTGTAGGTATTAAAGAACTCTTTTATATCATCAACAAGCATCGGCACATAAATTCCATTATATCCTGCAAATCTAAAGGCAGGGTTGTGCAAAAAAGGCCCTTTACTATGGCCTACTGGATTTGAAACGAGACCAAAAACTTTAGTATCTGCATTCACATATTCCAATTTATAAACATGCTTAAGGCTCACTAGAGTGGGCAAGCCAGGTATGGGTTTTCCCTCCAAAGATCCATACACCAAAAATCCACCAAATTTTGGACCCAGTAATTGGCATATTAGGCCTCTGCTCCCTACTGCAATAGCAATGAGGGGAACCTGGAGACAGAAAAATTGGAATTGCTTAACTTCAAGATACAAAGTATTAAACGTGCAAGATCAGCTTAATTATTCTATTAAGTTAATTTGTATATGTTGCATTGCATTTTAGTGCTTCAGGAATCAAGGTGCAACTTTTGTCAAATGGTTACCTGGCAATGTGTGAGCATCCGAAAAATTGGTACTAAATCTGTTATATAATTCACATCCATTTTGAGTTTGACAACATCAGCTCCTGTAAATTGCATCTCTGCAATCAGATCCCCTAGTGCCTCAGCTGACAGGTTCCCTCCATTGACATAGCTTGATACAATAAATTTGCTATTGGGATTCTGATTTTTATATTCCCAAACGCTGACCTCACAAGCCATCTGAAAAATTTGTTTGAATTGAAACTGTGTTGGAACTCAGAACAAATTGAAGCATTAAAACCCCAACCACTATGAAACTAAATTTTCAATCAAATTTTCATTAGTGGCTCGAATTGATAATGATTAAGGGAAAAAACTTTTAGCGAACGGAAGAAAACTATAGAATTAATTGATTGCATTGTTCTTTCACGCAGAATTGGCTATATGATTATCCTCATGCTCGTGTTGGTTGCTTTAAACTACTAGACATTGATCATAATTATTTAATATTCAATTGAAGATCAAATATCATATAGTATGGGAACTCAATATGATCCCAAGACACATTTTCTATTATTGATGATTTCTTAGAAAAACACTCTTTATTTGAAACATTCCTTTTTTTTTAAAAAAAAAAAAAAGGAACAATGTTCATTATTTTTTTATAACATAGTACCCTCACGAAAAAAATGAATTGCGCAAATTTTATAAAGTGAGAACATGGGTAAAATAATTTTATCCATTGATTTAACTTGTGTAAGGAATATGTCTTGCGTTAGGGTTGGGGATTTACTTTAAAATAAAAGAGTGAGGATTGATAATTGTTGACGAAAAATATCAACAATTGACATAATAATAAAAGTGTGAGGATTGATAATTAAAACGAGTTATAACATATCGATGCATGTAAATCAAATTAAAAATGAGTATTATATATAAGGATCAGAAATATAATATTTTTAATCTTTATACGTATTGTAATTTTTAATTTAATTCTTATATTCCATAATAAGCTCATGCAATCCTCGCAATATTATAACGATAATAAACAATGAGTTCTATATTAAAAGTAGTTTTACGTAACCCAAGTGTGGTGACTCAGTTGATAGCATGGGGACTGAGTGGTGGAAGAGGACCTCGATTCGAATTCCACCAACACCATCTGGGGAGGGGCATAAGTACCGTAATCCTTAGACTCGCACCTGAACTCTGGATTAGTCTCATAGGCGACTCAAAGAGTTAAACCCGTGAGGACACCGGGAGTTCTGATTCGCTTCAAATACCAAAAAAAAAAAAGTAGTTTTACGTATAAAAATTAAATTATTCTTTTATAAAGATAAATTAAAAATAATACTATAATAATTATTTTTAATCTTTTTTTTTAATTACAAACAATCTTTTTCCGGTAACTTTAAAAGACATGCTGGTTTGTACTTAAAAAAAAAAAAAGACATGCTGGCATACATAATTGTAGGTCAACGTTTCACGTGCCTATTATGCGACATGATGCCTACAGATCAACAACTGCATATTCAATGGTCCTATAAAAGTTTCATTGTTTCGAAACCGGCTGTTATTTGTTATTTATAGAAAATAAATTTATTTTTTATAAATATAAAAGTATGTGATTTATATATTTTTTTCTTTTTTTTTCTCATACGAGCTACGTACACTTTTATATATGTGTAAGAGATAAATTTATTTCCTACAATATAAGAAATATTTCATAATATTGTAATAGAATTAATAATTTAATACTTAAAAAATATTTAATATATATATATTGGGCTTTATTAATCTCATGCAATAGGAGATAACTCTCTCATGCAATAGAGATAATCATGTGTGGGACTCATCCACTATAGAAAAAAAATAAAAAGTAATACGGAAATCGATGTATGTGTAGGAAATTCTCTCCTACAACATAAGAATATATTTTTCCATATATATATATATATATATATATATATATATATATATATATAACGTTCTCTATCTTTTTATTTTTTTGAAATGATAATCTCGTGTAACTTTCTTATTATTTTTACTGTATTCTTATTTTCTGGCTTTTTTATGACACTTACTCTAGGATTAGAGAACACTCTTTAAAACAAGTTTATTATTATTTTTTTAAAAATAAAATGAAAATGAGTTAATGAAAACTGACAAATGTTAGATTAGATGCAGAAAATGTTAAAAATCTAAAATATGGAAGGAAAAAAAAAATTGGAATGGAAGAGTACCTTATAATCCACTTCAATAAATTCCACCTCTAATTCGAGTGCCACTCTCATTACTTCTAAGCATGTAGCCTTGCTGTTAATCACAACGGAAGCAAATATCACTTCAAACTAGTAGCCTCTGTATGGTAACCCATTATCACATAATTGGCTATTTGATTCTTATACTAATGTTTATAAGAGATAAATATAAAAATTTTATATCATAAGATTATGTAAAATTTTAACATAAATTAATTGATTCTCTAATGACTAGTTAGCAATAGTGTAGTCACTTCACTCTATCTTTCTCTCCACGTGTCCGATCTTACCAACGTCGCAATCTCCAACAAAGTAAGATTCCTCATCACCTAAATTTTATCAGCACGTAAAAATATAATAATTTGGCTCTCGACGAAAAATATCTTCTTTTTTATAGCTACTACTTATTTTAGTCCAGTCCAGACCCATGTGGATCATGATTTAACCAATTTTTTGGAATCAAGTAATAATTCAGGAAGAAATGATTCTAGTGAAACAAAAGATATCACATTATTAATAAATAAGTAGGATGTAGACCTATTCACGAGAAAGATATAGTGAATAATAATAATAATAATAAGGGTTTTATAAGAGTTATGTTGTAAAAAAAGTGATTGTGTAATGTGTTGAGATATATAGTTCCACATTGGTTGTATGTGCAACTAATGTGGAGTTTATAAGGCTTTGGACACTCCCATCTTTTGAGCTAGCTTTTGGAGTGGTGTATCCCAAGATTCTTTACATAATGTTATAGAGATTTGTTTTGCGTGCGTTAGTTTTTTTTTTTGTGCTTCAAAAAGTACAGGCTCCATAAAATATTGTGTGTGTAGAAAAATTTTGTGTGTCATGTAACATGATGAATGCAGATCTTTAGTAAGAATAATAATAATAATACTTAAAATTTTGTTTGAACTGGTGGTGCCTTTACTACTCTTTACAGTTAAAAAAACTGCAATATAGAAGTAGAACTGTTCCACGGTTTAAAATGGCATCAAATGTGGCCCCATTAGCATGTGGCAGAAATGTGTACCGTTAGAGTCACTTGATAAAAGTACGGGCATAAGCTAATCTATTAATCAACATACCAAGGGTAGTACACAATATTGTTGTCCACAACATTAATGGCAACAACGTACTATGATATATACACCATACTTTTAGATATTGCCAAGCTAACTTATTACTTATCAGCTTTCTACCAAAGTTTTTACACCTGGTTACTTGTCAGTTATCACAGATCAAATTCATTATTCAACCATCAAAAGTAAACATATATATGTTGGAGCTTGGGTGTCCAAATAAGAGGTAACTATCATACACGCATTAATGTGTTAACTGACAATTTATAATAGATATTACATTTCAACCAAAAATCATAAGACATTAAATTTATGTATCCTTTTATTCATGTGATCCTCATTTAATTCATTCCTAACTAATTTAAGACTTCATTATCTATACTTAAATTTATATTATTTTTTCCTTCAAATATGAGTTTCAAGCCCTAGACAAACAAAGACCATCATTAATGAGCTAAGTGATAATCCACTGCAACAGAACTTGACACCACATTTTAATTACAAATCTTAGGACATTGTGTTCATTGATATTATTTAGTCCATTTTTAACCAACCAATTACACTTGAATTCCCAGTATTAAATATCTATTTTTTTGTTCAAAGTGAAAAACAAGAAGATGGAAGAATGTTGCTTGTACCCATTTTTCAGTACTGTCAGCTGTTAAAAAAAAAATCTTGATTTTATATGTAATTGTTTATAAAAAAAAAATTTGGGTCCCCACTATGTGGGAATTTTTTTTAGCCCCTTTAGAAAATTGTTTAGATCCACCATTAAATATCAATTAGTTCTTACTCTCTCTTTTTTTGTAGTTAGTTCGTACTTAATATATAACACTGGAATCGAAGAACGTACGAAATACTAATGTAAATTAAAAGTACTTAAAAAGCATGTTACCAAAAAAGAGAGAGCAGAACTCTAGAAGCATTTTATCTCAACAAAAATATTCTGAAATGGGATATCATTATGTCTTTGTGTCTGTTTAGTTATATCATTATATGATTATATTGTATATCATTATATTTTAGCTGGGAGAAGTTCATTGATACATCAACATCATACATTGCTAGTTAGAAGAACTATTCTATATGGGAAGTTCAAAACAAAACGCACCTGAAAGACACAATTGCAGGCAGAGTTCTTAACTTTATGAGATTCTCAACCTGAGAAATGTGAAAGTGTGATACGGCATCAATGCAAAGTTCAACAATATTTGCACCTTCTGATTTTGCCTTTTCCATGGAAGTTTCCATTTCTTCCATAGTTTCACATTCTAGTGGTGCACACACCAGTGGGTTGTTCATGGATGCCATGCTTTCTCAGTGTGTGTGTGTGTGAGTGCAAGCACGTGCGGTGGTTGAGCTCGTGCAGGAGAGAGGGCTATCAGTTTACAAGCCAACAACGAATTTTCTTCAACTTTATATTCGGGGAGTGATGCTATTCGCAATGTTTGCTCCCAAAAAAAAACACCTTAGTTTGCCATGTGCACACGACGAGTGGGGCAAATTTTTTGGGAAAAGAAATAATATATTCAAATAAAAAAAACTTGAGTTTATCGTTTATCTACCAATTTATCTCAAGTAACATCAAAATTAAATCATTTTGGGAGTTATAAAAATTAATAAGAGGGCGTTTGAGGAGAAATTTTTTGAATACTAGGGAAATAGAATTGATACGAAAATGGTAAGAAAGTGAGATAAAGTGAGATAGATAGGAAAATGTTAAAAAAAATAGTTTGATGGGGAAAAAACTTTACTGAGAAAATTAGGTAACTTTTAAGAAATGTATGCTTGGTTTGAGGTAATATATAGTGAAAAATTTGAGTGAACAGTGAGATTACCCAGCTTTTTAACAAAAACCCACCTCCGAAAACGCTTTCTCAACAATAAATAAACCTATCATTCCGTTTCAAAATCTAAAAACCCATGCAAATTGGATGGATAGCTTTCTCACTAAATCACCCTAAACCAAACATCTCATTTCAAGAATCCTTCTTACATTTGCATAGGTTTCTTTTAAAAAGCGGCGAGCCAAACACCTCCTAAAGGTTATTTTAAGAAATTTATTTTCTTTATATGAATTTTATATAAATACTCTTTATTAATTTTCTCCATTCCTAAAATGACATAATCTTAAATTGCTAGAGATAATTTTTCTCGTGGATAAATAATAAATCAAAAAAAATTATACTTCTTATACATTTTTTTATTTAAAAAAATAAAAGTTGGGTTAAAATAATTGTTTTTATTTTATTTTATTGAAAAGGACAATAATATATATATATAAGATTAATATTTCTCATATTATAGGAGATAATTTTATCTCCTACTCATATAAAAGTATTTGAGATCATATAAAGAGAAGAAAAAAATATAAATCTCACATATATATATATATATATATATATATATATATATATAATAAAATTATTTTTTATAAAAAACATTAATCATATGTACAAATTTCATTCTAGAATGAATTTAGTTTGCTGTCTTAACTAGAGGGATTAACCCCGGTTATACATGACATTGACATAACATCACATTGGTTAAGTTCAATCTGCTCATGAAAACAATGGATTAAACAGTGCATCATGCGTAGCCTTATCACTCACAGCCACGTATTCAGAGGTGTCTGTCTCGGCCATGTGCCCCCTCTTGCACGTGAAGCATGGTACTAATTTGGACATTACACTCCCATAATTGATCTTCATTATTAGAGACTTTAAACTGTGGACTCATAAGGGAAAAAATATTAATGAAAAAAAAGAAGATGCTGGAATGCAACAGTTCTATAATATAACAAGTATCGATATTAAAATGATTAATTTTGTACATAGTCACACGCATGATCTTATATTTATATAAATTTTATAATTTAATTATGATTAATTTCATGTTAATTTTTTATGCATCTATAGGGCCTTTACGTAGTGTGCATTTTACAACTGTGCATGAAGTATTATTAAGATTTTATCACACTCAATTAAGTTTTGACAAAATTACTAGTTAAGATCCGTTTCCGTTTTCTGTTAGGTATGTATATATATATATATATCACTTTAGATTTGTAAATCCTATTAAGTAATTCAAAATAAAATTGGGTAGGGTGACTAAATTATTGATCCCAAGTATTTGGAAAAAAGAGCTCCACGTAGGACCATTTCCACGATAATGATTGATTAGCCCTCTGATGCAATCAACTACCCAACCACCTCCTCGACCCTTTTTGGAGTGGCTTTGTCCCACAAAGATTTAATTAAAGATTCCCTTTTTCTTGTTCAAGACATTAATTCATGAATGTGAATTAAATCATTTGAGGTCATTTCTTGGAGTGGCTTCGTTTCTTGGAGACAACTCACTTATCAATTGTGCCATTTTTTATTTTAGTTATGTGATGTTCGTTGTCATTTTACAGAGGCAAGAAAGTGCCCGCAGGATACATACGTTTGCATTTGCAACCCCATATTACTGATCATCAAATTTTGGAGAATATGTGAAAGTTAGTTGAGCCTGATGTTACATCTAACAGACAGTCACCGGTCAGTTGATCATTAGGCTGCAAATGCATTTCCACCAATGGCAGCGTTAAGAAAATTTTATGAAAAAAAATGAAGGAAACAATATTCACATTAATTTAGACAAAGTAATAAGATAGTCTGTCATTGCTTAATCAGATTTTAAGACCTCTTCACGCTTTCTTACTATTTAAGACATAACAAGGATGAAAACTAAAAAATTGAGGTTGAGTGGGGAAAACTTACACTTAAGTACACTTTTCTTATAATAGCTAAAAACATGTTTGTCCTAACTTTTAATTTATAAGAGAAAAGAGAAGTTAAAATATATATATATATATATATATATATATATATATATATATATATAGTAAAAACCCCTTTTAGTCCCTGGCAATATCCACGAAGCCATTTTCAGTCCTTAGCAGTAAAAAAAGGGACAAATTGGTCCCAGAAATAACAAAAAAGAGGTCACGTTCATCCTGTGGGTATATCATCAGAAACGCGGAAGCGCATCGAACCGACACGACGAGGGAAAAGATTAACCTTCATCGTTTTGATTACCTGGAAGGGCGTAGTTGTGTGACCACGAACAATAGTTGTTCCCTCTATGATCGATCTTCCAGACTATCTCTTGAGGAGGATGAGATGGTTGTGTGGGCAACCGTTCAGATGATGAACGTCTGCCTCTTGGGTTTGTTTCTGATGATCTGTTCACCTTGGAGGCACAGGAGGAGAAAACTATGAATATATATCTTAGGTCTTAGACATAACTCAACCCTAAGCCTCATGGGCTCAAGTGTCACTGAAGCCCAATAGGACTTTAGTGACCAAAAGAGCATATATCCAACAATATCCCACTTGCTCTTTAATATACAAACTTGAGTTCGTAAACCCAAGACCATGTAGCCCATAAGCTATCATCATCTGATAATATACCTCATCCCTTGTCTCGAGCTAGCCTGGGGACCTACCATTTGTCATTGATCAAGGCTCCTGATAATCTTTACAAGATTATCTAATTCAGTGCTACTCCACTAAAAACCCGAACGTGAACTCCAAGAATAATGACATTTATAACATTAATATGCATTGCCCCTTTATAGAATATCTATAATTCATTGATTAGTTTTCTGTAACCCAATCAATTATTTATTCCCTTGACTTTGATAATTTCTCTAATGGATTACATGCATTGGCCAGTGTCTTTAATATCCAAGTACCGAAATATATCAAGGGGACATTTCCTATAAATTCCTTGTTGTTTATCTCATAAATACTGATAATCAAACAATCTCACTCCCAAAACACCGAGTTATTAGCCGTCAAAAGATCGGACATCACCCGTTGGTAAATCAAAGAATGAAGACTATTTAATTATTTATTTAAAATAAACACAGGATTAAGGGCAATTACATAACTATAGTTATCTGGAAATTTGATTCCTTATGACAGAAAGAACAACCTTAATCAAATCTCTCCTTGATCCCTTCAATGTAATGATTAACTCACACCAATATTTTATAATGATTCGGACAAAATCATCTCATAAAACATTGCAGCCTAAATAAAGTGCCCAACTTAATTTAATAGCTGTGAACCTATTCATCAATTGTGAGAACTTATGACCATGTCTTCCATGAACGTATCCATATGGTCATATACTCCACAATTGATCCGGACCTTAGAGTTTGTAAATAGTGTGCCATACAAATGAAAAATACCTCATTTATAACATTCAGAAAAATAACAAAGCCATAATGTCTTGCTAAAAAAAAACACAAAATAACGAAGTGAAAAATTAACTCCTAAAGCTATAGCAAATCTGGAATCCTCCCAAGACCCATAGATGTAACATGCCTCTCGAACACACGTTCACGCAAACTCTTAGTAAAAGGGTCAGAAAGGTTATCATCTGATGCTATCTTGGCAACCACTGTGTCTCCTCTCTCAATGATATCTCGGATCAAGTGGTACTTCCTCTCTATGTGCTTTTGCCTTTTGTGACACCTTGGTTCCTTGCACTGTGCTACTGCCCCACTGTTGTCACAGTAAAGTGTGATGGGACGACTAACACCTGGTATCACCTGAAGGTCCGTTAGGAACTTCTTTAACCATGCGGCTTCCTTTGCAGCCTCAGAAGCAGCTACATACTCAACCTCTGTGGTAGAGTCAGCCACACATGATTGTTTGACACTCCTCCAACAAATGGCACCGCCATTAAGAGTGAACACATATCCCGAGGTGGACTTTCTTGAGTCAATATCTCCTTGGAAATCTGAGTCCGTATAACCAACGGTTTCAAAACTCCCACTAGAATAGACCAACATATAATCTCTCGTTCTCCGTAGGTACTTGAGTATATGTTTAACCGCTACCCAGTGTTCCTCTCCAGGATTGGATTGGTACCGGCTTACTACTCCCACTGCATAGCAGATATCTGGTCTGGTGCAAAGCATAGCATACATGAGACTACCTACTGCCGAAGCATAAGGTATTCTACCCATGCGTTCTCTCTGCTCAGGAGTTTTAGGAGATTGCTCCTTATAGAGATAAATACCATGCCTAAAAGGTAAAATTCCCTTCTTGGAATTCTCCATGCTGAACCTGGCAAGTATTTTGTCGATGTAATTAACATGGGATAATGCCAAAACCCTATTCTTCCGGTCTCGCAAGAGTTTAATACCAAGAATATAATTGGCTTCCCCCAGATCTTTCATATCAAAATGCTTGCTCAGCCAGGTCTTTATGCCTAACAATACCTCTGTATCATTTCCGATAAGGAATATATCATCC